AATCTTTGTCGAATGACTAACCCGTCCTTGACAGTGCATGGGGGCTTGTAAAGATCTTTAGTTCCAGGAAAGCATGCACCTAATGGTCTATTCAAGCCTGGGGGTGGTGGAGATGGTGTTATTAGCCTCCTTCAGAGGTTAGGAGCCAAATGGGGAGGTATTTCAGTGGTTTTGCCCAGCAGAGGAAAGGTAACTAGGTGGAAACAAATCTACAATTCTGTCCAGCACAACGCAGGAGTTCATTTTAGGACAAAGGAAGAAACACTGATAGCACAGGCAACAATTTTCTCCAAAATTTTTTTGTTTTGGGGGGTCACACAACCTGGTGATGCTCAGGGCTTACTTCTGGCTCTGTGTTCAGGGATCACTCCTGGGGTGCTCCTGGCGGGAACAATACTGTATGCTGAGGATGGAAGCCGGATCGGTTTCATGCAAGGCAAATGCCCTATCTACTATACTATGACTCTGGCCCTTTCCCCAAACTTATACAGATTAAGAAACAGGAGTCTTTAGGCTCTGTTTTTAGGGGCAATTGCTCAACGGACTGTCGCTTACTTTGCCTGCAGGCTTGTTCCCACTGCACTGTTCCTCGAAACTGAGAGTCAGGTATACAACCGGGTGTGGCCCAAACATGAAAAGAAAAGTGCGGTCCTTAAGAGTTGGGTGAAGCAGGAAGATGAAGGTGGCCCTAGCCACGGCTGGGACCAGGGATGGGAGAGCTGTAAGGCATCTGGTTTCAAGCTTTCTGGGCAGGGACAGTCTCCCCAGAGCACTAAGGATGTGACCCTCCCTCCAGCCCCAGAATGGACCACCACCAAGTATAAAATGCAGGTGGAAAGACACGAGAGGTACCCGGGTGAGGACCCAGGGCAGGGCAACTACCCTATGCTCAGTGCTCACAGCATGAGAGGGGTCCGTGGGACCACAGAGACCTGTTTGGACAGGGGGAACCAGTGTGCTGGCACCTGGGCTTGTATCTCAGGAACCGAGTGGACATATTCCTCACGCATCTTTCTTGGGAACGCATGTGTAAGCGCCACCCCAGTTCCGTGGTCCTTATGCTGCTCAGGTTTCAGGGGAGACTTACCCCACCTACCACTATCCACCGTGCTGGCGTTAAGTTCGAGCAATACTGAGGATCCATAGCGCCGAGTGGGGAGGCATGGCCAAAGCCCTGACCTGCCTTTTGTCCCGAGCTCACAACTGCCAAGTGCTACAAAAAGGAAACTTAGAAACTGTGCCATAATGATTTGGGGACCAGGCTCAGCATGGAGAGAGCACCAGCGCTTAATGGGCTTGCCTTGCACATGGCCACTCTGGTTGGATCTCTGGCACCATCGTTGGCCCCCTGAACACTGCCAGGAGCAACCTCCAAGACCAGAGCTGGAGTCTAGTCCCCAGGCATTGCCAGCTGTGGCCCCAAAAGAAAATAAAAAGAATGAGGTGGTGATACTCTGAACACAAACCTTACTCAACAGCACCCTGGAATCATCAGTGGCACCCAAATGCATCTTTTTATGATAAAGACTCTAATTCTAAACACGAAAGGAGATGGAACAGACTCAGGAACTCGTGTCCAGCCACCGCGGCTGCCAGTCATTATTCAGAGCTAACCGAGTTACTCTTCGACCATCACGCCTGGGCCCAATGCATTGGGCCACCCCAGGATTGGGAGATGCATTAGGCCAGTGCATGTCTTGATTTGCCCCCGCCCGTCCCTCCCCTCCCCCCCCGCCCCTTCCTCCCCCCCCCCGCACACACACAACACACACCTCAGTCCTTCTCTGCAGGCTGGATTTCTCCTCTCACCTCCCTTTACCTCCACTCAGGCCCAAACACAGCAGGGACTCGTAGTTCTGCACACACACACACACACACACACACACACACACACACACACACACGGCACTACTCACCTTGCCTCTGCAACTGCTCAAGGGACTTGTAGCTCTGCACACCCACCCATACACACACACACACACACACACACACACACGACACTACTCATCTTGCCTCTGGGACTGCTCAAGGGACTCGTAGCTCTGCACACACACACACACACACACACACACACACACACACACACACGGCACTACTCACCTTGCCTCTGCAACTGCTCAAGGGACTTGTAGCTCTGCACACCCACACACACACCCACACACACACCCACACACACACCCACACACACACACACACACACACACACACACACACACACAGCACTACCCACCTTGCCTCTGGGACTGCTCCAGGCTCGCCTGCTCCACCCTGTCAGATCATCTTGCTTCTGCCTTTCCTCGTCCCGATCCTGCACAAAGTACCTTCAGAACAGGCTCTCTGGTCCTCAGAGAACCAACCACACTCCACTGTCATGGCCGATACACCGACCAACAGCCCCTGCCCCGTGCACAGACTTGAGAAAGCGGCAGAGGTCAAGGCTTAATCATCTTCGTGTTGCCCTTGGCTAGCCCCGGCCCCGCAGAGAGCTAGCGAGCTCAGGAAACGCAGCGGGGCTGGCTGATTGTTTAAGAACAAGGTTTCCAAAGTTAACTCAGCTTCAATATGAAATTCAAAACAATGGAGAAGACAGGACTCAAACATAGTGGGGAAATAACATACACTTTTACTCTCAAAATAAATACTAATCAATTTTATTTTATAAATACAGATGCTGAGTTTTCTTCCAATTACCAACAGATCAGTTTCACATGCCATTTATTATTGGTGGTGGTTTAAAAAATTATTTAAATAACCAGTTAGGGCAGGATAAATGGGCACCATTAGAACGGCTAAAAAAATACAACTGGATACAATCTTCCAAAACTAATATTCCGGGGAGGGAAAAAAAAAATCTCTGGAATTTCTAAAGTGGGTAAGGGGAAGTGGAAAGAGAAAACACAATCAAATACCCATTTGATAACATTTGCTGGCTGTTAAAAGTATCTCAGCCACAGGAAAACTTTTAGCAGTTCACAAACGGAGGGTAGCGAGTTCTCATTTCAACTGAGATTGCCTCGAAGAAAATTTAATTTTTCTGGGGCTTAAAAGACTAATTGAAAAGATTAGGAAGAGATAGGAACTCATCCTAAGTGCTCTGGCTGCTTGAAACAAGCAAAATATACCCTGAAGTGTTGGAAAACGTCAAACAATCGTGTCTGGAGACGTGTCAAGTTGGAGGTTGTTCCTTGGCTGTGGCAGAAGCTGAGACATCAAACCAACTGAAAGAAACATGCAAGACCAGGGCCGGAGAGATGGCACGGGGGACAGGGCACTTGTCCCACATGCAGCTGACCTGGGGTTTGATCCCCGTCATCCCCTGAACAGTGCCGGAGTGATTTCTGAGTGCAGAGGCAGGAGTGGGCTGTGAGCACGGCCGGGTGTGACCCAAAACCAAAGTAAAACAAAACCAAAGTAAAAAAGGCAAGACCGAATGAAACCCAAGCCTGGGAGAAGTGAAGCCGGTATCCACAGACACTGCTGGGACTGGCATTCCGAACTAGCCCAGCACGCGCTGCAGCAGACTCTGTGCTGTGTGTATGTGTGTGTGTGTGTGTGTGTGTGTGGGGGCTGGGGGGGAAGGCTGGGAGCCCCAGAACTGGGAGCGTCAGACGGGGGACTGTGGCAGGGAGCCTCAGCACTCCTGGCTCCGCCTGGTGCAGAACCTAGGACATTATGCCTGGGGTGCGTGGTTTGGGTTCCCTGTGCCTGGGAGGCAGGAGTCAAGTTGCAGGGGTGGTGGCTGAGCACAGCCTGTGTCTGAATTTAGTGTGAAGTTTCAAGTCTGCACCCATATGCGGGCATGTCACAGATCACGTGACTCTCTTCCCACTGCTCGGTGCTGACACAGGCCTTCCAAAAAGGGCCGGAGAAATAGTACAGTGGACAGGGCGATTCCATTACAAGTGGCCGACCTGGGTTTGATCCCCAGCATCCCATTGGGGTCCCCTGGGCTCCGCCAGGAGTGATCCCTGAGCATCGCTGGGTGTGGCCTCCCCAAAAAACCACCACCAACAACACACCATTTTGAGAAGGCTTGCTGGGCTGGAGCGATAGCACAGCGGGTAAGGCGTTCGCCTTACAAGCGGCCAACATGGCCGACCCGAGTTCGATTCCTCCGCCCCTCTCGGAGAGCCCGGCAAGCTACCGAGAGTATTTGATATGCCAGACACAGTAACAACAAAGTCTCCAATGGAGACGTTACTGGGCCCGCTCGAGCAAATCGACGATCAACGGGAGGGCCTTTACCTTTACCTGCAGGAAGAGTTGTTACTTCCTTCGCGGACCCCACCACATCACTCAAAGACCCCCACCCCAGGCTGTGGCTATCTGCACTCTTTGACTCTAAAATGAGTAATAGCACCCTTCAATGAAGCAGAGATGCTTATGATGGCTTCTGCTCCAAGTTTGGGGTACTTCTACTTTTCCCTGTGGGTTATGATGGATTTTCCTGGATTATGATGAAGCTTTGAACTACTTGGGCTGGAGTGGTAGTCCAGTGGGTAGGGCATTTTCCTTGCATGTGGCTGACCCAGGTTTGATCCCCAGGCATCCTATATGGTCCCCAGAGCACTGCTAGGAGTAATTCCCGAGTGCAGAGTCAGGAGTAACCCCTGAGCATCACTGGGAGTTCCCCTCCCATCCCCCCACTCCCAGCTTTGAATTGCGTGCAGGTTGGGTCTCTGTGAGTTTCTACACGGAAAATAACAGGAACTATTCTGCTTACCACTGTGATTCTAGGTGAACACAGTGCACACGAGTGCTTGGTGGAAAGGGATTACGAAACCCATGAGTCCGGCTGTTTGGGAGGACAAACGCCACCCCTGCAGATGCCTGTGAAGTGTTTGTGCTGTTACAGACAACATGTCAACGCAAATGTGCGAGCAACATCAGCTTAGCACAGCCCCGGTGTTCCACGGGCTAGTCCTATCATGGTGTAACAGAGGAAAATGTAGGTTTCAGAGAATTCCAAGCTGGGGGGGAAAAAAAAAAAGAAAATCAGGTCGAGTGACATAAACTCCATTTTTATTCTTCTATACAATACAGGATATGTGGATAAAGTTTCCTTAAAGAGCTTGCAACCCTGAGGCGATGTCCTTGGGTGTATAAAGTATAAAGCAACAGCAAATAAAAATCTGAGCTCCAGGAATGATAATTGGACTTCAAAAACATAATTTAATATTTAAGCAATTGCACATAGACCAGTAAATTTCTATGCTTCATCCAGTCTCTTAATCCAACTCTCTCTGCGGCCCTGCCGTCTGCACCTGGACAGCCTGACTCTCCATACGCAATGCCTTTCTTTCCAGCTCAGATGGAATAAATTAACGTCGGATTTGCATACGGGGATTTGTGTCTGGTCCGTGCAGTGCCAGAGAGCGTGCCTACTTCCTGACTGCAGCATCAGTCCACAGACAAACTGAGACCCCCACTGGAGGCTGGGCGTCCTGGGCCACGAGCCTGGAGGGGCCTTCCAGGCGGTAGAGAAGTTTTTCATCTGAATTACGGGCTCCTCGAGGCCATGGCTGACCAGGGGAGGTGAGGGGTCCGTGACCTTCGTTCTCAGGACAGACCTCCATCCAGGCCACTGTGATGCACTGAGGACGGGGCCGACGCGCTGGGCTACAGGAGATCCTTGTGCTTCTTATTCATCAACCAAATGGATGACCAAAAAATCCTTCAATGAATGGTAAAAACCACATTTTTTTTTCTGAATTTTCAATTTTCCCAAAGCTTATGGCGAGGGCAAATGCTTCGGAGAAATGAAAAGTGAGTTCGTTATATTATTTATATATTACCATCTTCCCTCTGAGGATAACATAGAAATGATTAAAAAAAAAAAAAGCAGACTGATATCTGGAAGGTGACTCAAGCTTGAGCGCCACCTGTGCCTTAAAAGAAATCACCGGGCCTGAAAAAGCAAAATCTCACGAGCAAATCTGACTTGGTCTGGCCCGCTAATACACAATGATCCTGAGTCCCTCCTTGATCCACAAAGTCCTTTTTTTTTTCCTCTGAGGAATATCCTCCGTTCGTATTCATTTTGTGTCATAATTCTACTCAGTGCAGTGTCATCTTCCGTTTTAGGCAGCGACGTGGTTTGGGTCGGACGGCGGCTGCTCACTTATCAGAACTCCTGCGTGGCCGGCGGAAGCTGGACACGTTCTCATTCAGTGCATAGATCCTTCGGGAAAACTCTTCGAATTCCCCCAGGACTTGGTCGTCACACTCCACCGCCACAGCACTGTCCACGGGGATGCAGCTAAAGGCTTCTAGCTGGTCACCTGAGGTGAAACCCGTGGCCTCCAGCCCGATGATTTCTTCCGCCTGCTCCACGGCGCAGCAGAGCTCAGCTCCTGAGATGGGGTGGCACTCCCCGAGCAGCTGGGCCTCGGTGGCGCCGGCGTGCTCGCCGGGCAGGAGCGTGCCATTGACGGTCGCTGGGTGCCCAGAGAGGGTGGCTCCGGGCTCCTGGCCAGTACCTGCGCTCACGTGGCCATCGTTCACGCTGTCACCCAAATCCACATCCCTTTTCTGGTTTTCTTTGGAGAAGTCCAAGGAGGCATCCAAGGAGGAGGAGAGGCCTGCCACCTTCCTCTCTGACTCGCCTGTGGAGGGGACGGCGGGTGCAGGCTGGGCCAGGGCAGAGTTGTAACTGGGAGGGGGCGTTTTGTACTGGAGTCTCTCGTTCTCGGAGCTGGCCCGCTTTCGGTGTCCTTTGTCAGGTGACGGGATCCCCCCGGAGAAGCCCATGTCTGCACCCGCAAACATGGAGCTTTGTCTCTTTGGCACGGGGATTGCACTGGAGGTGTGATGTCGGTCACTAGGAGAAAGAGAAACAGGAAGTTACCGGCAATCTCAGAACCCCACTCAGGCCTTTAGTCTCCAGAGAGGGGATGGTGTGGGACACTTGTGTAGATACTGAGGTTTGAGAGAGCAATCAAAATGCCTAACAGCTTTAGGAATAGTTTCTTTTAGAACCATGCTAAGGCATACTAAGATATATCTGGTGGACCATTCTCAGGGTGGGATGGGACACGGAAATCATATCCTATGGGGGAGAATCCTAGATCTGGAAGAAGAATATGATGAACTACTTTTTAAAGCACAGTGTTTCCCAATTGCTAACGACCTTGCTTTAGGGAACTGATGGGGGAATCTCTCTCTCTCCTCCCATCCTCCTTTTCTCTTCCTCCCTCCCTCCCTCTCATTTCACAGGCAAGCACACCTTTGGGCTCACAATAACAATTTAGTTATACAAAGAATAATAGTCTCTGAAGTAATTTCACTTAGAAATTTCTTTTGTAGCATTTCACGTAAGTCTTCCCAAAAACTCTGTCAAAAGAGTGGCATGCACTTCATTACTCTGTAGTCTAAAATACTCAATAAGAGGCAGCTAATACAGAAAGAGTCCCCAGCCCCTGGAAAGGTGGTCCTTTAATGTACTGAGTTAGCTAAGCTGCCCCTAGAGCATGGAGCACGGTTTCAGATCCTTTGTCTGGATGAAAGCCAGTCAGCTTCGCTACAATTACATGAGCAGGGGGTGGGGGGTGGGCGGGCGGGTGGGGGGCAGGTACAAACACAAAATCCCTTTGACTCATGTTCTCCGGGTGAGAAAAACTACTCAGAGAAGCAGCTTGCAGAAAGACAACTACCAGGTAGAGAGGCTAGACTTGGAGCTACACCCACCCAACAGATAGCTACTCGCGGTGCAAGCCCGGGGGGTGCAAGACGGAGCCCGCTTTGCCTCTGAGAGCTCCCGGTCTCGCAGGAGAGCGCTGTTATTACTGAAATAACACATTTTCAGGTCACAGCGGCGAGAAGTGCTCTTGCAGAAGGAGGAGGACTCGGGGTTCCTGCTCCCCGTGTCCCTGGTTCCTTCTGGCTCAGAATATCTCTGACGCTGGATGCTTAGGCCAGGCTTCTCCTTCTGGAGAAGAGAGACCAGGCGTCTAGTCAGGGAGCTGGTGGACTCCCTTGCTTGGCTAACTGTCGGTGCCAGGAGAGATTTCCTAATGAGGGGTGGTCACTGGGCATACAGAGCCATGCCAGCAGGCGGTAAATTACTGTTTTGAGTTCTCCAGAGAAACAAAACAGGGCACAATCTGCTGGTCTTAAATCTAGATTTTCAGTTAATATGTTGTCAAAACTCATGGTAATTGGATGAGCTGCGCGTTTTTGCCAACCTTGTGTTTTCACCCTACCACAGGCTGATGGGGCCTCTCACAAACGGTTCTGCAAGGACCTTGGGACTCAAACGCAAACAGCATCAGCACTGCCCAGAGCATTTGCCTCTGATGGCAGCGGGGAAAGCACCAGCGGAGTGGTCGGGAACGTAGCTGGTAGAGGGCTGGAGTGGCCGACACACTGCCGGTGACACGCTGGCAGGGGGCTATGGTGGTTGGTGCTTCTCAAGCTGCAAAAGCCACTGCATGCCACCTGGGGGCATGGCACAACAGGCAGTGGAAAGGGGTGTGATGACCTTCTGTGCTTAGGAGGCGCCCTGAAAGCCCCCCACTCTGCAACAGAACGAGGAAGCAGAGAGATGGCCATGCCTCCACTACACCGGAGAGCGCCCCCCTTTTGAGCCCTGGACAGGAGAGTCCCGGTGATGCAGGTGTCCTGGTCTGCTGGACACACAACTGACCCAGAAGGGGCCTGACTTCAGAGCCTGCACTGTCCAACTGCCCACAAGGGAAAATCACACTCAAACCCAATCACCAGAGCTAGAGAGTAGTGGCAGGGAGTGTGCCCAGCGTGTGGCCGGCCCAGGTTCAATCCCCAGCACTCTGTGTGGTGCCCTGAGCTCTCCAGAAGTGATCCCCGAGTGCAGAGCCAGGAGAAGGAGGTCTGCAGGGTGTGACCCAGAAACAAAAACCGACCAAACACCTAATTCCCCCAGAAAAACTCAACCCATAGTGGTTAAGTGCAAATGACACATGCCAGACATCAAGGCAAAGGCCACTGGTCCAGGGCTCCTCATTCAACCTGTCCAATGTATATCTAACTCCTTACCTTTCTTCCTTTCTGTTAGTCAGGGGAGCTATCCCCAGCTGCCAGGGCCGGGGGAGGGGTGTGTGGTGTTGGGGGCTGAACCCTGGTACTTTTACCTCCTGAGCCACAACACCCCCAGTCCCTATACCTATTTTATTTTTTTGGTTTTTGGGCCACACCTGGTCGTGCTCAGGGTTTACTCCTGGTGGTGCTCAGTGGACCATGAGGTGTTGGGGATCAAACGTGGATCAGCCACGTGCAAGGCAAATGCCCTTCCCACTGTCCTATCTTTCCAGCCCCTTAGTTCAATATTTTATTATTTTCTTTCTGGGTCACAACTGGTGTTGCACAGGGGCTACTTCTGGATCATACACTCAGGAATTGCTCCTGGTGGTGCTTGGGGGACCATATGGGATGCTGGGAATCGAACCCAGGTTGACCGCATGCAAGGCAAACGCCCTGCCCCCTGTGCTATCGCTACAGCCCCCTCCTTAGTTCTGTTTTCAAGGAGGGCTCTGAGAGATAGGGACTTCGGTATTTTCTGATTCTGTGATAGTCTTCTCAGATTCCCAGAGTTTTAAAAGAATGAAGGGGATGGGATATTACAAGTACTAGATACAATTCTGGAGACCCAAGTAGACTATAAAGAAGCCCACATATTTAAGTTTAATCACCACTTTTTATCTTCTTTTCTACCTTTACCCTGGTACAATGATGTATTTCAAATTCGTACTTAATTTGTATTTCTTTCTTATAATATTAAACAGTAGGTATAACTTATACAGGAAAAGCTGAACAAAAAAAAAGTGTTGTCTTCATAATTTGGGGCCACCCATCAATATTCAGACATGTATGACAGAAGGATTTCATGGTAAGGAGTATGGGACTTTCTGTGACAGCTGATAGGACCTGGGCTTCAGGATTCATAAATCTGCACTGATTGGTGCTGGCAATCTCTCGCCTACAGGGTTATCCGTACTCCCATCTCCCTCAACCCTCTTGGTGGGATCCCTAGAAAACCAGATGCCTGGGAACTCTGTATAAAGTAAGACTAACTAGAATTTGATGGGCCGGCAGATGACCAGGGCATAATATCTTGTATACAAGGAGTTTAATAACAGTTTTGGTTGCTCAGAACTAATATTTTTAATTAACTCCAGGGACCTTAGCAATGTTCCAGGTTTTTAAGATACCTGAGGTCTAAACAGCTAAAGCGTTGAGTGATTATTTAAAAATATATAAATACACATGCATCTTTAATTATTATCATAATTTACACTCCCAGACAACTGAAAAAACAAAAGCCACATGTGGGGCCAGTGCAACAGTACAGGGAATAGGGGTTTGATTCCCGGCACCCCCCAGAGTCCCCTGAGCAGAGCCTGGAGCCATTCCTGAGCACTGTGGTGTGGCCCCAAACAAACAACTCCATAAACCATAGGAAAAATAAAAATAATCACAAACCTATAATCCATCAAGTAACTACTATTGACTTTGGACATTTTTACCTTTCTAAAATTTGGTTTTATGTATATGTGTTTAATGAAAAACAACCGAAACCAAACCAAAGCAAAACAAAAAATGTGAGGCAGGGGGCTCAGTGATAGTATAGAGGGTAGGGCATATGCCTTGCACATGGCTTATACCGGGCTCAATCCCTGACATCCCATATGGTCTCCTGAGTCTGAGTGCAGCGCCAGGAGTAACCCCCTGAGTATCACAGGGTATGACCCCAAAACAACAATAACCAAAAAAAAAAAAAAAATCCCCAGCCAAAAAAACCCCAAACAATAACCCCTATAATCAACAAAAACAACCACTCCAAAACCAAATAAAAAACCAAAAACCACAAACCAAACAAAAATAATAGTCACGAAAAGCTACCCCCCAAAATGCAAACAAGCCTATGTATCTGTGATATATGAAAATCCTATATCCTGACACTGGATGTTATCAAACTTCTTGATAAATAACTGCAAGGCTTGCTCCACTGAATGAAAAAAACCATAATTTAATCATTCTCTTGCTTTGCTAGATTAGGACATTTTTAGAATTTTAGATCTTACTATTAAGAACTAAATGCTATGCAAACATCTGTTCAAAAAACACAATGCAAAGATAAATTCTGATCTTTATGTTTGACAGATTGCCAGGAGAATCCTTCACTATACTTTTGAATATCAGGTAGATTCTTATAAGAAAAAAAGGAGCCTATAAAGAGAAAAGTAGCAATTAAAAAAGGCAACCAAAAATCTAGAAAGAATGCCCGAAAGGTTTCAAAGAGTCTTCCTGTTTCATTGCATCTGGCTTCCTAAACATTTCATTGGGACTGAAGAAGGGGTCAGAAGACATGGACCCATTAAAATATGACCAAATCCTTAAGGCTGTTCAGTTTATTTACCAAATAAAATTGGTCCATTAAATTGTGATGAATAATGTATGATTATTTATTTTTTTTTTTTTAATTCTTAGAAACAGAGAGAATGGTGGTGTTTGGGGAGGCGTGGGTGCAAGAGGGCCTGTGGCACCTTCTCCTGATGCAGATTCCTGCCCAGGCTCCCATCACGCTAAGGTGACATTTCTCAGTGGGTCCACATGGCCCCCGAGTGCCTGCAGGATCTTCCAAGGAGGGACAGATGGAAATGGTTGAAATGGGGGGCCATGGCCTGAGACTGAAGGGCCAGCACTCAGGACACAGGGGCAGGAGGGCCACAGGCTGGAAGCAAGGCTGGAGAAGCCTCAGTTGGAAGAGGTTCTGGGGGACACAGCCTATGGGGTGCAGGGCCCAGGCTAGCAACAGGACCGAGCCCTCTCGCTCACAGCACACAC